CTTGCAACGCGCCACAGCCTTTGTTAGTCGGCAAAAACTCAGTAGTCTACAAATAAACACTTTTTCTTTATTATCATTTATGTCCGCCGGAAATAAGCCCGTCCCTTGTTGGCAGTCGGCAGGGCCAGTTTATCGACAAGCACCGAGCTTGCAACCGCCTCAATAGAGTGGGTTGATCGAAAATGAGCCCAAGGCTCTGTGGAGGTTGTGCCACACCAGCCTAAAAAAAGTGCAGAAGGTGTACTTGAAACAACCATGCAGTGTACATTAGCAACCATACATTGGCATGGTGCTCATTGGGTTGGTGTTTGCTGGGGAGTTGGCCAGTTGGCCACCCACCTGCAGGAATTTGCAGTGGTTGAGGGTCAGGCTCAGAAGCACTCAAGCAACATTGGGGTTTATTACATTCCAGCTACACAAGTAGCACTGTAGATACCAAGACATGATCTAGACAGAGATGGAGTTCCACAGCTGGCACTGCTGGGCCTGCTGGGGCGCAGAGTCGATGAAGGCGTTGTTGACGCCGCTGATGTGGAGGTAGGGGTAGTTGTTGGCCGCGGAGTAGGTGGGCCAGCCCGCCATGCCCGGGTTGCCCTCCTTGGCCATCGAGGTCCAGATGCCCTGGAGCAGCTCCACCAGCGGCCGCTCCGGCGTCTCCAGCAGGGCCGGGGCGCAGGTGCGTGGGGTGTAGGCCGCGATGCAGCCCTGGCCGGGCGCGTAGATGGTGTCCATGCCGTGGAAGGTGCCCAGGGCCGGGTTGTACCAGGGGCCGACGTAGTCGCTGAAGTACATGTAGAGCTGGTCCTGGGAGCCGGTGGCGGCCATGGCCTTGAGCCAGCGCTGGGTCGGGCAGGTGTAGTACCAGTCGGTGTCGATCTTGGACATGGCGGCGAACCATGTGGGGTACTGGCCGGCACCGGGGCCGACGGGGTAGAGCTCCTTGACGTGCGGGATGAGCGCGGCGCCGAACATGGAGGTCACATAGGAGTTAAAATGGGACTCGTCGGAGTCAAGGGGGTAGTTGCGCGAGAGGAGGACGGTCGACTCGTTGTTGCCGACGGCGTGGAGGGTGGGCACGTGGTAGTAGAAGCCCGACTTGATCATGTCGAGCGGCTGGGCCGGCACTACGAAGCCGTCGACCGCCGGGCGGGGCTTGACCAGCTCGTCGATGGTGTTCTGGACCTGGATGAGCGTCTCGATGGGCACCGCGCGGAAGCACTGGCGCAGGTGGGCCGCACACAGCGGACCGACGATCAGGGAGTTCCGGTTGCACAGCAACGTGGTGCAATTCACCTTTTCGAGCACGGTCCACATCACGTCGGTGATCCAGGAGCGATCGTTGAGCTGCGTTCCCGAGTAACCGACGCCCGACAGGCCCACGGCCTTGTGGTAGAGGCCCCAGCTGAGCGGCGACACTGCGTGGAGCGCGACCGAGATCGAGCCCGACGAGAAGCCGCTGATGGTCACCGAGCGCGGGTTTCCGCCGAAGTTGCGAATGTTGTCGCGCACCCATTGGAAGGCGCGGCGCTGGTCCATGAGGAGGTAGTTGCCGTAGGTGCCCGACTCCCACAGGAAGGCCTGGTGGCCCAGCAGGCCGAGGATGCCCAGGCGGTAGTTGATCGAGATGACAATGGTGTTGGTCAGGTTGGCCATGTCCCGCCCGATGAACGTGCTCATCGACCCACCGACGAACGCTCCGCCGTGGCTGGTGTTTAAAATGTATATGTGCACAAGTACATGATCGTATGTCAGTATAGAAAGATATGTTGGAGGAGTTAAAAAAGTAAGAGCGCACCTGAAGATGAAGACGTCGCGCTTGGTGCCGTCGTTGAAGTTCTTGGGCACGTAGATGGACATGTAGAGGCAGTCCTCGGTCCAAGTGCCGGCCCTCTGGGGGCACGCCACCGCAGGCCGGGTACCGTTGTACACGCCCTGATCGATCAGCACAAACGGTTGAGAGTGTTATGTTATGAAATAAGCGCTCTCCATTAACGTCGACACACTAACGCGTTGACAATGTTCTGCATACCTGCCACGAATCCGGTTCCTGGGGAGGTTGCATGCGAAGGTTGCCGATGGGGGGCTTGGCAAAGGGCACCGAGGTGAACTCGTAGCTGCAGAGTCGAACAACCAGGCGTGGTGAGAGGGCTGGAGAGAGAGGGGTGATGGTTGTTGGAGGGATAAGGTACCCAACGTCGGTGGCGAGGCCACCGATGTCACCGTAGATGGTCGGCACCACGACGTCGTAAGCGATCGACCCGCCCACGCAGCAAAGAGCGAACAGGAGAACGAGAGCAAGGGTAGAGCGATGCATTGGCTTGTCGGCTTGTCTTTGGCGGTGATGTAGACTTATTATACACTTATCATACACTTGTTGAGTGGTGAAGGTGATGGTATGGTATAAGAAGTAGGCGAGTTCAGTCTGCTTTTATAGTTGAGCAATCGGGATGATTGGCCGACAGATGACGGAATGGTTTTTAGGAGTGTTGCGGGGTAATTCTGAATTGGTGCGTCCGCTGCGGGGGTAGCAGGGCAGCAGTGACTCTTAGCCAGCGACCCAATTGCATTCTGGCTAGCGATCACCATAATCACTCGACCTGTGCGCCAACACCCAATCAGTGAGTTCGAACTAAAATAACTCGACTGACCCAAATTAGGCTGGAGCAACCAGCACTGCTCATTGGCGGGCATGTAACAATGTAAAAAATGCCAAGATATGCGGCATCGGCCGCATCGCTCTAGACTCCGTCTAGAGCGATGCGGCCGATGCCGCACGACGTTACCGGCAAAACCGAATAACAAGAAGAGTGGTCAGTCGTAGCCGCCACACTGTAATCCGCACCTCGCCCGCCATGTTTGCTTCGCACCACCACCACTATATTGTCGTCGCTCTCTTGGTACTCGCGGCAGCAAGCGCTATGGTGCGGGCCGGCCCTGTGTCCGGGTCCGGAGAGGCCCCCAACGGTCCGCTGTTCAGGACCATGGCCCAGTCCTACGGCCTCAACCGCGACGACCTCCTGTTCGACTGGCTCGACAGCGATACCACCTCCGCGGCCTTCCAGTCCTACGTCTCCGAGGACCGAGTCTACTTCACCACCCACGGCCCCCTCGACTCGGGCCTCACCGGCACCGACGCCGGCGCGCTCACCCAGGTCCCCCTCGCCGGCGGCGCGCTGGTCGTGGCCTACCGCCTGACTGGCTCCTCCCCGACGCCGCTCGGTGACCAGGCCCAGCTCGTGCTGGACGGCCCCACGCTGGCCCGGGTCTGGTCCGGCGCCGTGGTGCGCTGGAACGACTCGGCCATCGCCGAGCTCAACCCCTATCTGGTGGCCAACGGCCTCCTGCCCGACGCCGACATCACCCTGTACTACAGCGACGACGTCCGGGGCAGCCTCAGCGACCTGTTTCTGGGCTACGTCTGCTCCCACGAAACAAGCCCAGCGGCGTGCCAGGCCGGCGGATTCGCAGGGCTGGTGCCCAGCGGCCGCAGCTTTGCGTCGACACAGCGCGCAGCAGATGTGAAGGCCACGCCCAACAGCCTCACCTTTCTGGGCCTGGCGGAGGCCACCGCCGCCCAGCTGAGCGTCGCCGCAATGCGGGCCAACGGCACCACCAAGGTCCAGCCCACCGCCACCTCCATCACCTCCGCCATGACCGACGCCACGGCCCAATTCAACAGCCTCGCCGCCGCCGCCAACACCACCAACGCCGCCGCTGCCGCCACCACCGCAGTTCTGGGCCTGCTGCCGGCCAAGGCCGTGACTTCGTGGCCCATGACCTACCTGGTCTACGGCACCTTCTTCGCGGCGTCGAACAGCAGTTCGCAGTGCCTGTACCTCAACGAGTACCTGCTGTGGCTCAGCTGGATGCTGCTCAATGACAACGCGGCCACGTCGGCCGCCGGCACCCACCACCCGATCGTGCCCTACGACTGGAAGCGCACCGTACTGGACAGCTTGTCGACGGTCACCTGCCTGGGCCGGCAGGTGTCGAGCACGGCCTACCTGGTGGGCATGGGCTCGTCCAACCCGCTGCCCACGCTGGGCCGCTACTACCCGGCCTCGCGGTTCGTGCTCAAGTACTTCATCGGCAACACGGACGCCAGCGTGAAGAGCCTGGCCGAGGGCACGATCGACTTTGGCCAGACCAGCGCGCCGATCTCGGCCGAGCGCATGCAGCAGGCGCCGGACATCATGACGGTGCCGGCCATGTGCTGGGGCATCGTGCCGGCCTACAACCTGCCCGAGCTGGTGGGCCTGCCCTTCGCCGGCCTCCGCATGAACTGGAGCCTCATCTCCGACATCGTACGCATCACACTCCCGCACATCACCATCACTATATAGCTATATATCTGTATATATTGATATGTTTGAGGAATGTGCAGTATCTGTCGCACGTGACGATGTGGAACGACGCGCAGATCGCAGAGCTGAACCCGGAGGTGGCGGGCCTGCTGCCCAACCGCACCATCAAGATCGTGTACCAAATCAACCGGTCGACCGTGTCGCTGGTCTTCAACCGAGCCATCAGCGCGGTGGTGCCCGAGTACGCATCGGTGATCGGCCCGGTCAACCACTTTGACAACTCGTCGGCGGCCCAGAGCGACCGCGGCATCGGCGTCCAGGGCTTCGGCTTCCCGCAGGCCATCGAGGCCAACACCGACAGCTTCGGCCTATGCACTTCGATGGAAGTCAAGGGCAAAATAAGCGGAATCTACATGACAAACCCGGCCGGCAACTGGGTGACCGCGTCGGCCGCGTCGGTGCTGTCGGCCATCGAGGACTACAAGGCCGAGCTGGACCTCATCACCTTCCTCCACGGCCCCGGCCCGCAGTCGTTCCCCATCACCCTGCTCACGGCCGTCACGGTGCGATCGCGGTCCATGACCGACTGCGCCAAGGCCGCGGTGCTGGTCGACTGGCTCTACTGGATGCAGACCAGCGCCGTCGGGCGCGACATCCTCGATTCGTCGAATTATGTGCCGGCCTATCCGTTCGAGGGATTCCTTAACGTGCTTCGGCTGAAGCTGATCAACGTCACGTGCCAGGGCGTGGCGGTGAGCTCACTGGTCGGCTGCGTCGACGAGACCGACGGCCGGCTGTGTTCGGACCACGGGACCTGCGCCACCGGCGGCCGCTGCCTGTGCCGCGAGGGCTGGGCCGGCCGCTTGTGCGAGCTCGAGGCCGCGTCGTTGTCTGGCGACGGCTCGGACTCCCAGACGACGCTGGCCATCGCGCTGGGCGTGGCCCTTCCTGTCGTCGGGCTGCTGCTGTGCGTCGCCCTGCTGGCCATCATCGTCGGCGTGTGGGTCGGGTCGCGCCGCGGGGGCGACCGGTACCGGAAGGACTACTACATCGACATGGCCGAGCTGGAGATCGGGCCGCAGCTGGGCCAGGGCGGCTTCGGCGAGGTCTACAAGGCCACCTGGAAGGGCACCGAGGTGGCTGTCAAGCTCATGCCCGAGGGCGCAGCGGCCAGCAGGGAGGCCCGCGAGAACTTTGGTATGTTGTGCCCTACTATCTTTTTTTTGTTTAATACTATAATCTAAATACTAATTGTTTATGCTAAAATATTCATTTGTAGTCCAGGAGGTGGCGATCATGAGTACGTTGCGGCATCCCAACGTGGTGCTGTTCATGGCGGCCTGCACCAAGCCGCCAAAGCTCTGCATCGTCATGGAGTACATGGCCCTGGGTTCACTCTACGATGTACGCCATTCCCTCACCAAGTGTGGTGTGTTACCGAACGAACTTTGCACTTATATCTATGTTGATGTTATGTTGCACACCAGTTGCTACACAACGAGCTGGTGCCCGAGATACCCCTGTCTCTGAAGCTGCGCATGGTCCACCAGGCGGCAAAGGGCATGCACTTCCTCCACGCCTCCGACATCGTCCACCGCGACTTCAAGTCCCTCAACCTCCTGCTCGACAACAAGTGGAACGTCAAGGTTTCACGCCCCCCCCCGTTGATTTCCTAGCTTGTCCCCTAGCAACGCTTCTCTTTCCTTTTCCTGATTTCTTCCATGTAACAACCAGGTGGCGGACTTTGGGTTGACCAAGTTCCGAGACTCGGTCAAGCACAAGCAGGGCGACGACGGCAATGGCGGCGGGGCGATGGTGGGCAGCGTGCCCTGGATGGCGCCCGAGGTCCTGCAGGAGGAGAACAACTGCGACTTCCGATTGGCCGACATTTATTCGTTCGGCATCGTGCTCTGGGAGGTCCTGACCCGCGACCAGCCCTACGCCGGCATGGCCCCGCCCCAGGTGGCGGTCTTGGTCATCACCCAGGATCTCCGGCCGCGGTTGCCGCGCGACGACCAGTTCCTGGGCGACGGCGAGCGCGCATTGGCCCGGCTCACGACCAAGTGCTGGCAGCGCGACGCTCCCATGCGACCAGATTTCATCGAGATCATGCAGGTCCTGGTCGACATAGGCAACGCCCACGGCGGCGTCAGCAGCGGCCTCTTCGGGACCGGCACGAGCAGCAGCGGCTCCAGCTCGCACCACCACTCGTCGGCCCTGCTCAACACCGGCACCACGACACTGGGCGTTCGGTCGACTGGCAGCGCATCGTCGTCGCATGGGAACCGGAGCGGACACAGCTCGGCATCCAGCTCGAGCGGCCATAGCGGCATTGGCGGCGCTGCGGCTCCGTCGGCGCCCAAACTGCTGCGATTGGCGGCGCCCAGGCGCGACGTCAGCTTCGTCGTGTGCGATCTGGCCGAGTTCGACCGCGTGTGGCAGGCCAGCCCGACCGAGGCCGAGCGGGCCATCGAGCTCTACGGCGCCCTGGTGCGCCAGCGCGGCCAGGCCGAGCTCGGCGCCCACCTATTCTCCCTGCCGGCCCTCCACTCGGGCGGCACCTTCATGCTGGCCTTCGGCGACCCCGCCAACGCCGCCCGCTTCGCACTGGCCCTGCGGCGCGACCTGCTCGCCCGCGATAACCCGCGCCTGACCGGCTGCTGGCGGGTCAGCATCGACCATCGGCCGGACTCGTGCCCGGCGCCCGCCGACGACCACACCCGCACCGGCTACGAGCCGCGCGACTTCGCCGACGCGTGCCGGCTCAACACGCGGTGCCCGCTGGGCGGCATCGTGTGCTCGGCCGCGTTCGGGCGGCGGCTGCAGGCGGCCATGGGCGGCACCCGGGACGGGCTCGAGGCCCTCGTGCGCCTGGTCGAGCGCCAGGCCGACGGCGGCGCTTCGTCGCGCGTGTTCGACGCCAGCGACCACGACCTCGACGAACAGCTCAACCGGGCCAGCGAGGAGGAAGGCGAAGCTCGAGGCGACGAGCCTGATGGCGATGACGACGATGAATTCGGCCAGCGCCGGAACACCAGCCACGCGGCGGTGGAGGCGTCGGGCCTGTGTTCGTCGAACGCGTGCCACTGGATCATCAACACGGAGCGCATCAAGCTGGGCGAGGTGCTGGGCGAGGGCAACTACGGCAAGGTGACCGAGGGCCAGTACTTTGGCACGCGGGTGGCGGTCAAGCGCCTCTTCAACTCGCGCCTGGACGACGCCGGCATGCGGCGCATGAGGCGCGAGGCCGCCATTCTGTCCAACCTGGACCACCCGCGCGTCGTCAAGCTCATCGGCCTGGCCCTGGCCGACGACGCCGGCCACCACCACCTGCAACTGGTCATGGAGCTGGTGCCGCGGGGCAGCCTGCGCGGGGTCCTGTCCAACGCGTCGATCTCCGACCGCAGCCTGCCCTGGGCCAAGCGGCTGTCCATGCTACGCGACGCGGCGCTGGGCCTGGAATTTCTCCATGGCAACGGCGTGTTGCATAGGGACATCAAGTCCTCCAATCTCCTGGTCGACGACGACTGGAGCGTCAAGGTGGGCGACTTTGGCTTCGCCACGGCCAAGCAGGACAACGCGACCATGACCCGCTGCGGCACCCCGTGCTGGACCGCGCCCGAGATTTTGTGCCCGCCGCTGCCCACCACCGCCTCTTCATCATCATCGCCGGCCGACCCGCCCAAGGCCAACTACACCGAAGCCGCCGACGTCTACAGGTCTGTACACAAAAAAAACACCGTCGGCGACACCGCACACACCGCACACGCTCACCGCACACGCTGACTGACTGGGGTGTGCGTGGTGAACGCGTGACAGTTTCGGGATAGTGATGTGGGAGGTGCTGACGCGGAAGGTGCCGTACGCGGAGGGGAACATGATGACGGTGGTGCACGACGTGCTGGCCGGCAAGCGCCCGCGGGTGCCGTCGGACTGCCCGCAGGCCTTCGCGGGCCTCATGGAGCGCTGCTGGCACCGCAAGCCCGGCAAGCGCCCGACCATGAACGAAGTCCTCCTCCACCTCAACTCCCAACTCGACTCGCTGCCTCTGTGATGATGACAGCGCTGTGACCTGTACTGTACAATACACGCCGCGTATGCCGCACGACACGACACGACACACACCGCACACACGACGACGACATGTGGTGGGAATATGTTATATGTTATATGTTCATCATCATCATCAGCAGCATCATGGCGCCTCGGTGCTGAGCTTGCTGAGCTCGGGGTTGGCCTTGAGCTCGGCGAGCAGGTCGATGACCTCCTCGAACTCGGGCCGCGCGTCGGGCTCGTGGCTCCAGCATCGCGTCATGAGCTCTCGCCACTTGACGGGACACGTCTCCGGCAGCGTCGGTCTGAACATGTGATGCCCATCCATCCCAACGTTCTTGTTAATTGCGATTAATCGTGTTGCGTGCCGTTGTGTGTCGTGTGTGTGTGTGTGTGTGTGTTGTGGTGTGTGTGTTGTACCGTAGGCCCTTCTTGGCGGTCTGGATGATGATCTGGAAGTCGAACTTGAGGTGTTTGTACTCTGCGAACGGCCTCTGATACGACTCTGCACGCGCGCGAGCAACGAACCGAACGTTCGGTTCCATCAGTCGCCCACTCGACCCAATGGAAAGAGAAGAGAAGAGGGGGAAGCGGTACCGGTGATCACGCGCATGGCCATTTCCCACAAAATAATTCCAAAACTGTACACGTCGGCCTTGGTGGTGTAGCCTTGCCCGTTGTACGTCTCCGGCGCCGCATACACGTACGTGCCTGAATCCATCGCGACACACGCGACACACGCGACACACGACACACACGACACACACACGACACACGCGTTAGGACAGTGAAGAAATCGGCAAAAGTGGTGGACCAGAACGGGTGCGTACCTCGTAGCTTGGCGAGCGAGGCCTCGTTCTTGGTGGTCTTGAACCGCGCGAGACCAAAGTCGGCCACCTTTACGTTGTAGTTCTCGTCCACCAGCAAATTGGGGCTCTGCAGGCCAGACAAGCATGTCATCCGAAGTCAGCCGTGTGCGCGTGCGGTGTGTGCGATGTGTGCGTGCGCAGTACCTTGAGGTCACGGTGCACGATGCAGGGTTTCCAGCAGTGGAGAGCGTTGACCGCCTTGGCCGCCTCCAACGCCAGCTTGATCGCCAACTCCCACGTGAAACTCACCTCCTGACACACGACACACGACACGACACGACCAACGACACGACACGACACGACACGACACGACACGACACGACACACACGACACACAACACACGACAATGTCATATAGACACGGGAGAGAGTAAGGGTGAATTGGGGGGGGGTACCGGCGAGGACATGACGTCGTAGAGGGAGCCGCGGGAAAGGAACTCGGTGACGATGGAGAGGTTGGGTCGCGTCACGGCGCCGTAGAAGAAGACCACCATCGGGCTGCGGATCTCGCTCATGATCTCAAACTCCTTCTTGAACTCCTCCGGGTTGACCGTCGCCTTGAGCACCTTGATGGCCACCTGCTGGCCGCGGTACTTGCCCTTGAAGACGTGGGCCGACGCGCCCTGGCCCACCTCCTCCGAAAAGGCCAGCTCCGACCCCTCGATCTCCCAACTGTGCATCATTCCCACCGGCGTTTGCTATGACACGACACGCGACACACGCACACGCACACACGCACACACGCACATGTCAGGCTTGACGTGTGCACTGAGGAATGCGTGCATCTACGGAGAGGAATGTGAGGAATATGCATACCTCGGTGACGGCCTTAAATTTCTCGGTCATGGCGTTGGGACTGAGGGCGACGTTGATCGTGGGGATGGTGTTGGCCGGCAGCGGCGGCTGCATCTTCTCGAGGCGCTCCAGCACCTGGGCGAAGCGCGGTCGCCGCTCGGGGTCCTGCTCCCAGCAGTCGCGCATGAGCTGCGCAAAGTCGGGCGGACACGAGGGCGGAATGTCGGGTCGCAGGCCCTCCTTGCTGACGCCCACGATGATCTGCGGCTTCGACTTGCCCTCGTACGGCTCCCCGCGCGTGATCAGCTCCCACATCACAATTCCTAAAATATTTTCAAAGTGTTAATAACATTTAAGATATTAATTAATATAACTATTACCTTAAAATCGAAATGAAATTGGATTATAAAAGAACGAATTATAATTGTTTATCAGATTGTAGGTACCGAAGCTGAATACGTCGGCCTTGGTGGTGTAGCCCGAGCCGTTGAAGATCTCGGGTGCCGTCCAGGGCATCGTGCCGCAGAATGTGCTCGCAATGTCGTCGTTGTTCATCGCTCGCGCCAGCCCAAAGTCTAATGTACCGACGACAACGCAAGTCGAGAGGTTGAGTCTCTCAGCCCAAAATAATAAAATACTAATACTAATAATAATAATAACAATTAAAACGAAGGGAAAGAACGAAGGGAAAGCGAAAGCGATGACTGTGACGACGACGCACCTGTCACCTTGACGTTGAAGTTCTGGTCGACGAGCAGGTTGTGCGACTTGAGGTCGCGATGGATGATCGGTGGGTCGAACGTGTGGAGGTAATTCATGCCCTGCGCCGCATCCATTGCCTGTTATACGGCGACGCGTGGTTTCGTATGGTGGTGAGCACGCAGCAGAAGGACGCAAAAGAAGAGGAACGCGCGAGCGTACGATTTTCACGATGAGATCCCACCCCAGATCAACACTCTCGTCCTTGAGCAGAAGGTTCAAGCTGCCGCGCGACATGAACTCTGGTAGACGCACACGCAAGAAGTCGCGTGGTGAGGTCGACGGACGGCGATGGTGGCGATGACGGCAATGTCGTACCGGTGACGATGCACATTTCCCGCTTTTGGGTGCATGTGCCCATGAACAGGATGACGTTGGGATGTCGCAGCCGCCGCAGAATGTGTGTCTCTGCCTTGAACTCCTTCAGCGCGTCGTTTTCCAAAATTCCCCTAAACACCTGCACGACGACAACGACGACGACGACGACAATGAGCGAACACACTGCATGTGTGCCCTGGGAAGAAGACGAGGAGGAAGAAGAAGAAACGTTGGGCGGCACACTCACCTTCTTGACGGCGACTCGCGTGCCTCGCCACAGCGCTTCGTAGACTTCGCCGCAGCTGCCCTGGCCGATCGGTCGAATCCACCGCAGGTCCTTCGCATCGATTTTCGCCCCTGCACAGCGATCAAGCACCAGCACGCGCATGACGTCAGCAGGCAGAGGAATGAACTGAATGCAAGGAATGCTCAGCATGCCGAGCGACGTGTACCGCGCAGCCCGGGCATCTCGACAGAGTTGTCCGAGTTCTGTGAGTCCCAGTCCTGCGAGGAGAGCGAGGCGTCCTCCAGCTGCTTGGCCTTCTTGTTCGGCCGCCCGGGCGAGCTGGGCACGCCGGTGCCGCGTGGTCGCTTGCCCGCCGCGCGCAGCGGCGACGGCATGCCGCCGCCACCACCTTCGCCGCCGGCCGCGTCGAGGCTGCTGGTGAAGTCGACGTTGGGCTGGGTGGCGTCCTGGTCGAACTCGTCTTCGATGGCCGAGTCCTCGCCGTCCTCCTCCTCGGTGATGGCGAAGGTGAAGAGCAGGAGGCCCTCAATGAGCGACACGCGGTCCCCGTTCTTGAGCATCTTGAGCTCGCCCTTCATCACGACCTCGGGCCTGGCATCGGGGCCATCGCTCTTGCGATAGATGAACGATGGATTGACACCCGACTAGAGTGGGAGTGGAAAACATGAGCAAATTTGCACAAATTGCACAGAAATCATTTCAGCTGAAAATGAGATCGCGATCGAAACATTAAAATGGCGTTGTGTGCTGGCTTGAATGGGAGAGCACAAGAATAATTTAAAAAAGATGACGAACGTACCGACATGAGGGTGACGGTGTTCGTCTCTTTGGAGACAGTGACCTCGGCGTGCTTGCGGCTCACGCGTCGGTCGGTGATGCCGAACTTGGCCCCACGGCCCAGCACCGTGACGCCGCTCTCCAATTCCGTCGTCACCCCCGAGGGGGCGGTCATCTGCACTGCAAACGGCTGCTTCTCCCCTGGCGCTATGCTCCCCTTCCTCTGGGCCGTCGTCGCCTCGCCTTCTCCCTCCTCTTCCATGTCCATTCTGCTGACAGAGACAAGAGATGGCCTCGTCGACTGGCAGGCGGTAGCTGGCCGGCAGGCGAAGTCGTAAATCAAAGTTGGAATGAATCGAAATCGCCGACGACCTGTGCTACCCACAAAGGTTTTAGTTTTTTTCTTCGCGGCGTTCCCAACACCACGCAAGGCGCGCGGAGAAAGCCCAATGCGCGCCAGGCAATTTCCCAGATTAATGCACCAGCGCGCGCGTGTTGTACAGGAAGAGTAGAACAGGTTTGTTTCATGGATAGTTGGACACCCCCAACAACATCAGCTCGAAGGAAGTGTTGATGGGTGCGCGAGTGTCTTCTCAGTCGTTTTTGGCCGAGGAGAAGTGAGAGGGAAGCACACTGCTGCCGCTCTCCTTGCCGGCCAGCCACCCGAAGACCCTGCGTGCATCGGTGGCCAGGTACGCTCTGTTTGTGTTGCCAACGGGTTGGAGTAGAGAGAATGGAGACGGTGAGCAATAAGATCGTAGCTGGTCGACACGGACCAGCTTTCGGCAGAGAAGGCGTACCGAGAACGAAGAGACTGAAAGAGGACGACGCCTAGGAATGCAAGTAGCACCAGCGGGAACCACAACACCCACACGAACGGCAGGTGCAAGAAGCCCAACACCCTGCCCAACACACAAGCCCGTCAGCACCAGCAAGCACACGCTGAAAAGGGAAAGTGCAGAAAGTAACCAGATAAAACAGAATAATGAACAAATAAACGGCTGTGCGACGTACGAGAGGAGGGCGTAGCTGCCCGACTTCCTGTGTGCGGTGAGGCCGTAGGCGATGGCCAGCGCGTAGGCGGCCCAGAAGAAGGCGAAGGCGATCAGCATCTCGGGCAGGATGGGCACGGCACAGGCGCCCACCAGAAGGCCTCGCCCCAGTCGGCCCAAGTTGTCGATTTCTACCAGCTTCAGCACTTCATCATTCTCCACCTCACCTGCAACGAGCCTCTCCCTATCGTTCTGCCCACTCTGCCGTATCCTGCACACAAAATTCGAGAGTCAAATCGCAGCCAGCAGAGATGAAGATTGCATCGTGGAAATTCAATCGAGTAGTACCTCTCCTTGCCCTTATAGCTCCTCCTGCCCTCGCCATCGAGTAGTGGGCTGGTGTGCAGGGTGAGCCATGCGCTCTTCGACTTGCCCTTGGCTCTGCTCGCGTCGTATTCGCCAAATCGCCAGCTGAGATCGAGGAATCGGCGTCCCTTGTGCATGGTCTCTGCCCACCCTTTCTTCACCGTGTTGGCCAGGCTCGCGGTCTCCTCCCTCTTTCCATCCGCCCTCTTGCCGCCCTTGAGGTCGAACAGCCAATCGATGGTGAGCACCGAGTAGAGCAGACCCACGTTGGCACCGTGGATTGCAGACACCACCGCCTCGCCCAGCCGTCCGCCAGCCTTCTCCACGTCTCTACTGTTCTGCTGTGCCGAAGACGTCACCTCTCCATCTTGCTGCTGCTCATCATCATCTTTCCCATTCTCTTTCCAGATTCTTAACTTCTTCGCGGAGGGCAAGGGTTGTGCGTGCGGCTTGGGCAGTATGAAAGTGTGACATGTCTGGGCCTGCCCACAACTCCTGACAGCTCCTCTAAAAGAGGCACAACAACACCAAGCGTGTTGGGCTGTGGGAGAAGGGGTGTTCCCTCTTCCCTGCCCAGCCACCACTGTGCGAGCCTAAGATCACAAAAAGAAGACAGAAAACCCGTAGACAACAGTTGTGCGCTTTTTGGCTCTTGGTCAAGTGGAGGGCGGTTGGCCAGTTGACAGTGTCCCTTGCCACATCTAGGTCCACCTACCTAAACACTGTCTATTGCGCTACCAATCATTGAGAAGAAATGGTGGCAAAAACAGGCCAGTAGCCTGTGTACATCTTTAGCATAGTTGTGTATTTCCACATGTTGTTGCAACATCTCCGTTTTGTTTTCGCAAGTGTGCATGTACATAAAAATCATTGGGCGTTGCTGACCTCCTTCGTCTCCGCTGGTGGAGGGGGTAACATCCCTCTGGCGCTGCAATTGCTGCTGATACTCCAACTCTCGCTGCGCGTAGTATCGGTCCATCAGTTCTCTGTAACGCACACGCACACGCACACGCACCACCGCACACGCACACCACAGGTGAGCACAGAGTGAGATGGCCTAGAAGGCGAAAACAAGAGACTCACTTTTCCAGGGCCTCCGCTTCCTGCTTCTTCTTCTGCGTCTCCTCCGTGACGGGCTGGATAGGGAACCAGCTGGGCACCTTCAGCGACATCCACGACATGACACTCTCATGCGCAGCCTGTCGTTCACAAAAGCCAAATCGGCCACGACCACCACAGCATCGACCACGTGTGAGCAACTGGACTCGACATCCTCCACGATGTAAAGTTCAAGGAGAGGATACGATATACTATACCTCTTCTTTCTCCTTTTGAGCGTTCAAGTGGTAGGCGATGGTTTCCAGCTGCTGGTCGATATGCTCCAGCTCGCTCTGTGCGGCTTGGGCTCTTTGTCGCAGCAATGTCTGATGTCGCACACGCGTTTGGCACGCGCACGCGCACGCACACGCAGACAAATACAAAAGAAAGTGCACAACCAAGTGAGTGTTCGAGAACAAACAGTGATGATGCTGGCGATGAATGCACCTGCCGCTTTTCGATGAGTCGCTGCTGAAAGATCTGCTGCCTCTTCTTGTTGTACCATCGGTTCCAGAGGGCCACGCCACCCTCGCCCACGGCGGCCAGGCCGCCCAAGGTGGACATGCCCAGCAGTGCGGGGTAGGGACCACCTGCATCATCGACACACGCGCCCTTAGCCTCTTACACAGAAGGTGTGCCGGGCACTACACGTTGTGATGCACCTGTGGCGGCACCCAGCAGGGCGCCGGTGGCCATGCCCGCGTAGAGGCTCGGCACCATGCCCTCCCATTGCATATCAACACGTAGAAGCTCCCTGGACACTGCACCACAGAGTCCATTAATCAGCGATTTTGTTTGCAATTAAAACCACAAAAAGATTGGGCTGGGCTCCTACCGAGGAACAGGCCAGTGGTGGTGCCGGCGGTGAGACCACCAGCGAGAGCCGAGGTGAAGATGATCGTGGAGGGCGGTTTGGAGGCCGCGGCAGCGAGCAGCGTAGAGGCTGCAATCTCCTGTGCAGGGCCTGCCTCGAGGGCGAGTCGCAGCCGACGTCGTGCTACTGCCGCGCCCACCACCATGCCCACCGCCGTCGCCCCTGCCGTCCGCTTCCACACCGGACCCCACTGCGCCTTGATTCTCTTCTCCTCTTCCATCTTTGTGTTTTTATTGTTTGTTTTGATTAAATCTATTTCTTTTTCAGTTTTTTAATTTCTCGCCAAGATGGAGCTGTTCGAAGCATCGCCGCAGTACGCGTCGCCCAAGCCGGGGTTCGATTACCGTCCCCCTACGCCGCGTGTGTTCGTCATGCCGCCCTCGTACCAGGTCAAGGGTGCGTCTGCGATTTAATCCGGAGATTAACATCCTTAAATCATTTAATTTGAGATTATGAAAGCAATCACAATTCTCATTGCGCTTTGCTCCCCTCCATCCATCCATCTAATGATTTGTTTTGTTTTGTTTGTTTATTATTCTTTTTGGCCAGGTTTGCACACCATCATCCGCGACCGCAACACCAGCAATGAGGACTTCGTGTTCTACTCCAACCGACTCATCCGCCTTCTCGTCGAAGAGGGCCTCAAGTTTGCTCCCACACCGCCGTGTCGTTGTGTGTCGTTGTGTCGTGTGTGTGTTGCCGTTCTCACACACTGCACCACTTTCTGATGTCTCTGCAGCCACCTGCCATTCGTGGACAAGGTCATCAACACACCCACGGGCGACGCCTACCGAGGCGTCGAGTGGCCCTCCCGCCTCTGTGGCGTGTCCGTCGTTCGCGCAGGAGGTAACGCACATCCTCCTCATTGTGGTGTTGGTTTGTGCCCATATATTATGCCTGTGTGCGTGTGCGGTGGTGTGTGCGTGTGCGTGTATGCGTGTGCGTGAGAATGAGCATGAGCTAGAATTGCTGACGATGCTCTCTTTTGCGCAGAGAGCATGGAATCGGCCTTGAAGGCCGTCGCCAAGGACGTTCGGATAGGCAAGATCCTCATTGAACGCAACGAAGTACACGTCCCCTTCATGTATCTATGTAGTGTTGTTGTTTTGTGTGCGTGTGTGGGTGTGTGCGTGTGTGAGTGTGTGTGCGCGTGTGTGTGTGTGTGTGGTGTGTGCGTTAGCGTGAATATCGACCACATGTCTAACATGCCTGGAAACCAGGACACGGGCGAGCCTGAGCTGTACTTCGTCAAGCTGCCAGAGGACATCAACAACCGATTCGTCCTTCTTCTCGATCCCATTCTCGCCTCCGGTTCGTCTTTTTCCTCCTCTTCCTCTCATCTTTTCATTCTCTGATTCGATTTGATTCGATTTGCACAGGCGGCGGTGCCAAGCGAGCGATTCAGGTGTTGCTCGACCACGGCGTGAAGGAGGAGAAGATCCTCTTCCTCACACTGATCGGTACCGCCACATCTGCACACGCACAACATCACCTTCGCTCACTCGTCTATTTCTCGTGTGTCGTGTGGTGCGTGCGTGTGCGGTGGTGCGTGAACGCAGCGGCTCCCGAGGGCATTCGAGCGGTGTGCGCTGCCTACCCGGAGGTGGGGATCGTCGTCTCGGAAGTCGATCCCGGCCTCAACGAAAAGGTTTCTCCCCCCCCCGTCCCTCCCAGACACGACACGACACGACACGACACGACACGACACGACACGACACGACACGACACGACACGACACGACACGACACGACACGACACGACACGATCGCTAACCGTGACTAAACGGGGTTGTCCGACCGCTCTTGCAGAAGAAGGTAACGCCCGGCATCGGCGACTTTGCCGATCGTTACTTCTGCACGGAGGACTGAAGCCAGCGGCCGCCTTACTGCTTCTTCTTCTTCTTCTTCGTGTTCGTGTTGGTGCTGAAATACATGCGAGTACATCCTCCACGCCACCAGACCATTGTGTCACAATTTTTTTGGAGGTGTGTAGCATGAGATCTTTAGATGTTGAGATAGGAGTGCTTGCCCACGGCCTTCTTCGAGCATGTCTTGGTAAGCGAGGCACCTGCAGGAAGGTGGGGGGCACACAGCAGCAGGAACGGAGATGTAGAAGGAACCAACCACGGGAGGGTGGGAGATAAAAAGGATGAGAAAGATGAACGGATGAGAAAGAGAGAGAAAGATGCGAAGAAGACGAGGCGCGAACGGAGGCGAAACCTTTCCAGAGTAGTTTGAGAATGTCACCACACCCGGGTATGCACGGGGCGAAGAGGGAAAAGATGACCCACCACGCCGCGCAGAAGAGCGACACCGGGAGGAGCAAAACGGCCAACACCGCGAAGATGACGAACGTCACTGGATTACAGCCCATCCTCCACAAGCTCTCACACCTTCTCCTTCTCTCATCTGCGCATTCCTCGACGGCAACCGCGCGAGAGAGATTATACTGTCCCATCTTCGTCGAACGAGATATTCTCTAAAGACGGCTGCTGGTGATGTTGTCTCCGTTCGCCGTGGTTGTTGCAGCGTTGGTTGCGGCGGGCAAAATAATAAATTAATAATAATAATAAAATAATAAACGGTTATATTTGAGTAGAGGAGGAATGGATACAATGGAGGAGAAAGAAGGGCTGGGTTCGTTTACGACATGGCCTTCTTGGCGCAGTACTGCACGAGAGATGCACCTGTTGGATTGGAGCCTCCCCCCCGATGAGAACAAGCTAAATGATGAAATAAAATAGAATGATTACGAACCCTTCCAGAGGGCCTCGAGGATCTGGGCGCAGTCGGCGAAGCAGGGCGAGCAGCAGGAGAAGAGGACCCACAGGAAGCCGCAGAAGACCGAGATCGGGAACACCAGGATGAGGATAATCACCCACAGAATGAAGGTCACCAGATTCATATTTTTTACGATTTTCGTCTACTCAATCAACTTGAACGAAGTTGGTGTAGTCGCTGCCTCTCAGGATGGTTCGTTCGGATGGCGAAGATGAAAAAACAAACAACAAAAAGATCTCGTTGCGGGGTCGACGGTGGAGCAACTTCGGGTAATTTAATATCTGCCAACCAATCCAATCTCGTCGAACATCTGCTATGCTGACGTCATCATGGAGGTGGCTTCGGTCGTATGATGGTGCGGCAGAAGAAGAAAGATGGAGGCGGTGGACCCCGAGGTCTATGGCGAGGCGGAGCAGAGGGAGCGGTGGGTGGACGCCGACCTCCGTCGCATCGCGGGCGACGTAGAAGAAGGTGGCGGCTTCGAGTGGAAGCCGCACGCCGTGGGCCGCAACCGCCGCGACCAGTGCTTCGTGCACAAGGCCAAGGGCGACCCCGTCTGGTGGATCAAAGTGGTGGGCGAAGTCTTTGCTGATGAAGCCGAAGTAAAGGATGAAGTCGCCAAGAAGACAAACACGAAAGAGGTCGACGACGACGACGAGGAGAATGAAGAGAACGAAGACGAGGTCCAACCGCACCCACTGCTGCGCAACGTGGACAACTTACTGGACGAAGGTCTGCACGTGCGGCAACATGAGTGGCACCAGCTCTACGTCGTACGCTCTCATTGCTTGTGCGTGTGTATCGTGCGTTCTACGTGTGCGGCTGTCTGTGTGCGTGTGCGTGTGCGTGTGCGTGTGCGTGCGCGTGCGCGTGCGCGTGCGCGTGCGTTGTGTTGTACTTACAAGTCCCGCATGAGCGTGTGTGTGTGATGGTCAGGACGGGCGCATCTTCGAGCGGGTGGACGACCAGGCGGAGCTGTGCTACTTCCAGTACGCGTCGCCCATCTTCTTCGTCTCCGGCCGCGACACCTGCTACATCAAGATGCGACGCGATCTCGACGATGGCGGATTCATCCTCTCCTATCGCAGCATTCGACACGACGTACCGTCTCTCTTGCTTTGTGTTATCGTGTGCGTGTGCCTGTGTGCGTACTTCCCGCGTGTGCGTGTGCGTGCGGTGGTGCGTGTGGCTTAGGTTAGGTGGTTGACTGTGGTGTGTGCAGGACTGTCCGCCGCACAAGGACTATGTGCGGCTAGAGTTCGAGGGAGCGCACATGATCACGCCTCTGAAGGATCGCAAGGGCTTCACCTACACCTACATCCAACATGTACGTTAATTGTGTGTGTGTGTGTGTGTGTGCAGGGGTGTGCGTGCGTGCGGCGGTGCGTATGCGTGTGTGTGTGGTCGTGCTTTGACGTGTCCACGCACAGGCCGATGCCAAGGGGAGGCTGCCCAAGGCGATGGCCAACGGACCGCAGGCGGACGTGATGCTGAAGGAAATCGAAGGCGTGCGCAAGGCCATCCGCAACCCGCTCTTGGGGCGACCCTAAAACAAATAAACGAACCAATCACAAAAACAGAATAGTGTATGAGCTGCGCTTCGTTGCAGGCGTGAAGAAGACAACTGAACAGATCAAGAAGAAGATGAGCGGCGAACGATTCGATCAGGCGACACTGGACGGCTGGCTGGACGAGGACCTGGCGCGTATCAACGACGAGTCCCTGTGGAAGGAGCACAAGAAGGGCAAGGGCGACGGTGAGGAGGTGGTGGTCTTCGTCCACAAGCCCAAGGACGACTCGTTCTGGTGGTTCAAGGTCGTCGCGCCCATGCCCTCGGCCACGCTCGCCCAGGCCAAGTACTCCCCCCCCCCGCATCGCGGACTTGAGAAAAAGATCGAAGCGAACTATTCTTTTCGTCTTCGTTCTTTCTGTTCTGCGCAGCGACTTGTTCGATGTCTCGTTCGCGGAGAGGAAGAAGGAATGGAACGACCTCTACAAGGTACCCTCTCCCTACCCGTCTTCTTTTCATTTTTTTTATTTAAATTTTTTATTTTTTATCTGCAGGGCGGGAAGGTCGTGGAGAAGGTGAACGACAAGACCGAGGTGTGCCACTTCCAGTACGACCCGGCCATGATGCTCATGTCGGCTCGCGACGTTTGCTACGTCAAGACCCGCCGCGACCTCGACAACGGCGCCTTCCTCCTGTCTTACCGCAGCGTCGAGCATGAGGTACAATAATGTTCTCACGACTTCACCATGTCAACCAGCGCTGACTCATCCGTGTGTGTCGTGTGTCGTTTGTGTTGTGTGTGTGTTGTGTGTCACATGTGTTGTGTCCTGTGCTGCGCGTGTCATGTGTGTGTCGTGTGCCGTGCGTCTAGGGAGCTCCGGTGACCAAGGACTTTGTGCGCATGGAGCTGCAGGGCGCGAACCTCATTCAGCCCAGGCCCGAGGGTGGAATCCTCTACACCTACATTCAGCACGTACGTCTGGCGTGTCATGTCGTACCTTGTCGAGTGTCGTGTGCAGTGTGGCGTGTGTGTCGTGTGTGTCGTGTGTGTCGTATGAGTCGTGTGTGTCGTGTGTGTCGTATGAGTCGTGTGTGTTGTGTGTCACAGGTGTTATGCGTCATGTGCGTGTTCATGTGGTTTGGTGCTAACCTCATGGCATGGTCAACGGCCCACACAGTTGGATTCGAAGGTGCCGACGCTGGTGGCCAACAAGCCCCTGGGCGGCGTGATGCTCAAGGAGACCGAGGCCAGGCGCAAGGCCCTCTCCAACCCCATCGTGGGCTCCCAGTAGAGATAGAAAACTGACGTTCATCTGCTCGTTCGTGTACTCATCAAGCAGCGTCGTCAAGAGAATGCTCGATTCGCTTTCGTTTTTCGTTTCGTTTCGTTTCGTTTCACTAATTGTTAAATCAAATCGATGAAAAACTGAAAGATTGCACTTGACGATGGCCACACGCAGGGCGGGACCACGACTCGTGGCTACTACTTACGGTGTTTGGCACCACCCGGGCCGCTCGCCACACAAGGCCAGCTTCGCCTTCATTCGACACAAATCGCACACGATCTCTGCCAGTGACGCTGGAGGTACAGATGGAGCGACTGCACCACCGCAGCAAACGAGAGCCCATGTGTCGGTGATGCTCGAAGAGGTGATGCAGGGGCTGGGCGTGAGCAGTGCTGCAAGCACCAGGAAGACCCCAATTTCACATCTCGCCCCACAATCCAACGAAAATCGCAACCGCGTGTTCGTAGATGGCACCTTCGGTCGTGGCGGCCACACGCGTGCCCTACTCGGTACCCTGCCGATGCTCTTTTCTTTTAAATCTTTATTTATATTTATGTTTACTTATTATTTTCTTATTTGATTCTGTTGTGGCAAAGAGAGGGACAGGGCGTGTAGGGTGATCGCTATCGACTGCGACAAGGCGGCGTTCGAGGGCGAGGAGCAACGACGACTGATCGCAGAACACCAGGACCGCCTCATTCCCGTGCAAGGTACGCGTGGTCCCGCACACGCACGCACTGCCGCACACACAACTGCATGGCACACGCACAAGCGCGGCAGCACGCACACGCGCATAACACGAACGCGATCCAGGTAGGTTTGGAGACCTGGCCAACCTCGTGGCGCAGGCGAACGTGTCGGAGAAGAAGCAGGTCGACGGGATTCTGCTGGACTTGGGCGTGTCTTCGCCACAACTCGACACAGCCGACCGCGGCTTCTCCTTCCGCTACGACTTGAACGGTACTTGAATGTGCGTGTGCGTGTGCGTGTGCGTGTGCGTGTGCGTCGTGTGTCGTGTGCGTATGCCATCGCGTCTCACGCTGGATTTGGTGTGCGCCAGGACCGTTGGATATGCGGATGGATCAAAGCCCGAACAGCTTGACGGCCGCCTACGTTGTTAACAACGTGGCCGAGGAGGAGATCGCCCGCATCATATGGATGGTAGGCGCCTCGTCTTCACGCCTACACCTCACGCCGTGTGCGTGCGCTGTCACTGACACTTACCCACCATACTGTGGTGTGAGGTGTGTGGTGTGTGGTGTGTGTTGTGTGCGTGTGTGGTGTGTGTGTGTGCGTGTGCGTGTGTTGTGTGTGTGTGCACTGTCAAGTACGGAGAAGAGCGACAATCGAGGCAGATTGCGAAGGCCATTTGTCGCTACCGTCGGGAGCGAAGGATCGACACGACGACCCAGCTGGCCGACATCGTGCGACGGTGCCTCGATGCTCCTCCTTCGTCGGGCGGCGGGCGGCGGTCCGGCGGCAGCAAGCGAGGCGACAAGTCGATCGACCCCGCCACCCGCACCTTCCAGGCGCTTCGCATCTTCGTCAACGATGAGGTAACCCTCTCACCTGCGTGCGTGCCTCGCAT